GCGCTTACGTAATCCCGCGTGTTTCCTGTGCGATCCTGCGCGACCTTGATGCATGTCGGTGCAACCAGAATGCGCTCTTTTTCATTTTCCTCTTCCTCCCGTTCGTGCTTTTTACTCGGTGATCGCTGGTAGCATTCCCAGCGGGCGCTTCCTCTGTGTTGCTTAATCCTTTGACGTACAGTGACGTCCGAGAGACGTCATTGAGATTCCCATCCCACAGTCTGATAAACGTGAATTTGATTTTGGTGCAAGTGGGACCGAGTGGAAGATTGTTTTGCTAGTAATGGTTGGAAATTGTATGGGAAGTTTCTGGTCGGTTTCGAAAGTTATTGGTAGTAATGTAAGAGGCATAGTCGCATAGGAAATCGTATGGCAGGGTGTTAAGGCTCGATACACACGTGGTGCTGGATAATGTAATGGTAAACAAACGATTGTGTTTGAAATTTTCGAGACTTTTAAGACTTTTAAAGCATGAGAAACTTTGGAGACTTTTCAGATCTTCGGAACTTCCAAGATTTTCGAGACTCTTGAAACTTTCAAAACCTTCAGGATTTCCAAGGCTTTCAAGACTTCCAAGACTTTCAAAACTTTTAAGGCTTCCAAACCTACCAAACCTTCAAGACTTTCAAGACTTCCAAAACTTTTAAGGCTTCCAAACCTTCAAAACCTTCAAGACTTTCAAGACTTTCAAGACTTTCAAGACTTTCAAGACTTTCAAGACTTTCAAGACTTTCAAGATTTTCAAGACTTTCAAGACTTTCAAAACTTTCAAGGCTTCCAAACCTTCCAAACCTTCAAGACTTTCAAGATTTTCAAGTTCCAAGGAATCCTTCGAAGCTGAAAACTTACCGAGCCCTTCAAGACCATTGCAGAATTTAATCATACTCGAAGTGTTTCGAACACTCTGAACACTAAAAGACTTCGTATCACTCCGAATGCCAGCACCAATAGTGTGTATCGAGCCTAAACCTCGCCGATGAAAACGAAAGTGGTTTCATCTCGTCTCTAAGGCCTAGCGGTGCTGTCCACTAGTTAACAGCTCTGCCTTTCCGGTACAGACGCGGAAATTCACCGTAGTTTCGTGACGGCTAAAGCGACACTGGAATCGAAGTCGAACGATTGACAGACAGGACTGTTAGCAATCGTGTCAAACGTCTTGTGTCAACCTATTAAATAAGTTATGAGATCCAGATCCCTTTGCATCAAAGAAATCGGTTCCGATGACAAGAAAATTAAGACGAGAATATTAGAAATATATTTCTGAATAGGAAAAGGGGCTTCGAGTGTCAAATCTCTGCAGATAATTGAACCTCAGAATACGTAATTCTCAAATAAACACATAGATAATAATAACAGTAAGAGGAAAAATAAAAAGCCGAATATTCCGTTCCAAAATGCAGAAGGTTCCACGAGAAGCTCGAAACATATAATTCTCAGTACATTGCGACAAGGATAAATAGAAAATTGCACGTTCACGCGAAGAAAAATGCGGCGTAATTAATGTCATAATTGACCTTACGAAACACTAACACCCGTCCAGTGACTCTTTACAGGAAAGTGTATCAGATGTTTGGGAGAAAAATACTGTGGACGAAGTTTCCCTCGAGAAATTGATCGATATTGGATCTTAATAAAGATCGATATTATAATGCCTACGATAAAGTAAGAAGATGAAGAACAGGAAGAGGAGCACTTCGTCTTGCATCCGTGAGCAAACCAGTACAGAGGGATTGTCTCGTGAATGTACCTTTCGATACGATTATACTCGATATCGAGCGAAAATCTACACTACGTGTCTGACACGTTATTGTAAGGTGTCTCATTTTAAAGAATCAAGAAAGAAACTCATTTTAAAGAATCTCGTCTATATCTAACTAGAAGGTACAGAATATTTCAAGTGAAAAACGTTCGAGTGCAAAGGGTTAGAAATTTCAAGGGGAATCCATCAGGAAGACTCGTTGCAACGTCATCGAATAATTGATAGCTGTTCTTACAGGAATCTTCGGGAACCGGTGAAAGATGAAGTTCAATTAAGTTTCTAATAGTTCTAGGTTAATCTGTCTTCTCGAGAAGTAGGATGATACGCGCAATTCGCCTGGTTAGTTTCACTTTCTCCGGGTCTATATGCACACTCGTGAAAATGGGGATTCGCAGAAATGTCCGTTGACCTAGCCGCGTCGCGTAGATTCATCATCAATCACCGGACAGAGAGCAGCTACGCCTATGACGCGTCCGAGGCAGGTCGGAGTGAAATTGCGAGCGTATGGCTCGCAATTAGATTTCTAGTTCGAACGCTGGTCGTTCACCCGTGGAACCGGCCACTTCTCTCAGGAGAAGAAACGCGCCAAGACGAGACACAGTGGAAATTTCGTTGCTGGGGAAACTCGATCGCCACGTAGCCTCGAAACTATTCGTAAAATACTCGCTTCTGCTTCGCGCAACGATTCTACTGTCTTCTCGATTGTTATATCCGGACGTTTAGTTTAACGGCGGTCTGGCGAGAATTTAAGTAGAAGTTATTGCTGAACCAAATAAGCATATTTATTTGTTACAAACTTTCGGAGACGGATCGGGCTGACAAATTTTCTATGGTGGTTTGATTTTATCTGACTGGAATTTTTATGATGATTCCACTATCTTCTGGATCAACGGTAGATTTCGGTAATTGCGAAATACGATGATCCGAAATGATTAACCTGTAGCGAATTTGTAGCATCGTGTAACTTCTTGCTGAGCATCCTTTTATCCTTTCCGCTGCGCACTCCAATTAAACAGGAATGTCGGAGAAATGCGCCGAAGAAAGAATAACCCCAATTACGAACGGTTAGCATGTCTAATTACGGAAACTAGTTCAGCTCATTCGGGTCGTTCGAAATAGAAGCAATTAAAATGAAGGAAGTGCAATGTTCATCGATCTACATCTTATCAAAGTTCACACACAATCATTAATCCTCAAATTCTTTCTAAGATATTAATAACTGCGAAACAAGTTTCTGCCGTGAGAACAGAGATATACCAGCTTCTTATCAGGCAATAATCGATTTATCTGCTACCGATCTATTCCTGTGACTTGTTTCCTAGTTGTCCTGCGGCTAATTGATAGTACACACTTGACAATTTCATTGAAACGATCGAACTATTAACACTAGAACTACCAAGCATTTCAAACAATTGATTTGTAATCTCTATAAAAATTCTAACAATAGATTATTTTCAGTTTCTTTGGACATTCATCATAGTACTCAAGTGAAACTATTTATTTCCAAAATCATTTCAAATATTCAATGCTGCTAAGGTATTAACACCTGCGAAACAAACAAATCGAAACCAGTCATTTCGACCGGTACGGTAGTTCTAGCGTCGAAGCAAGAAAACCGTCAACTCCACCGGAAACCCCGAAACAACTCGCAGACCACAGAATATAATCGGCAAAAATCTGTTCGAATGGTAACGTACGTTTACCGTTGACACCGAGAAAATTACAGATCGCGTACACGCACGAACGCTGCTGGCAGAAAAAACGCGTCCGGCTGAGCGGAATTGTCGTGCCGTCATTAAGCAGCCGTTCGTGACGCCTTCCGATAGCAGCCGGTAAAAAGAGCCGGGATGCCCCGCTCCCATGCGCGGCCGACTATGGCGAGCCATCGGGAGTTAGATTCCGTTCCAGGCGACGATCGGTTTTGCCGATCAGCCGGTATCAATTTCCGCAGTAACGGGATTGCTGCGGGCCGGCAACCGATGAAACGCACGTGAAACCGGTTCGCGATGGAAGCGACGATCGCGGGAAATCGTGTCAGACTACGCCGCGCTAGGACTGGACGACGCTCGTAGACGCGCGCAACGGGAAACGTAACGACAACGGCGAACGACAGCCTTGGCAAGGACACTTCCGCCTGGCCGGACCGACGACAAGGAGCCGACGCGTCGGGATCCTTCGGGGAAGATCGGTCGAAACTACGCTGCCAGCGTTTCGGGCGGTTTAGAAGAAATTTCACTCGTGTAACAGTAGAAAGTTGCCTTGTATGCAAACGATTACGAAACCGCGATTCCAATTTTGCTCGGTTGTTTTGTGAAATTCGTGGAAAACGCATTACGAAAGATCCAGGATGTTGGTCCGTGGATATTGTCTATGAGATGATTCGATTTTGTTGTGGGAGTGATCGATCTTTTGGAAGTTCGATGGAAGTTTGAGGATTAGAGGAGATTAACCGGTTGAGCGTGGAATTCAGTTTGAAAAATCTCATTGTGCGATTAAATTATTCGCAAGTTGCTGCTCCAGTTACGAAGCCTTGATCTCCGCGATCTGCCTAAATCCCCGCTCGAAAGCTTAACAGGCTTCCGGTGGATGAACCGTTAAGGTAGAAACGTGATGCTATAGGACGTCTTTTGCTTTATGGTTGGCGACTGATGTAAATGCGTCAGCGAATGCGAAAGAAGTGGCGTTTTCGACGCAGAGTAACATCGACAACTGCGAAGATCTGTTTTTTTCTTTGTCACTTTCGTTGCCGTGTCACCCGAATTCGGGTGACCCCGTGATTTACATGAACTTAACACAATGCGGGATTTTTAGTCTATGGTTTAATTGCTAATCCTACGTTCATGTAACATTTTAGATATGTATAACACAAATCCAAAGTAAAATTTACAAAGTCGAATTCCTTATTCTCTCCTGTAAGTTAGAAATTTTGGTCTAGTCGATGTTTAAAAATGTATCAATATAATCATCGACGCTCGCGTTTTTAGTAGCTGAAATTTAGCCGGCGCTCAATGTGTTAAACATTACTTTTCTCGGCGATGAAATGAAAAAACCGAATTCAGTTAGATGCAAGATACTAGAAAGATAGAGCAATCGTTATAAACAATATTGACTTCTTAGTTTCAATGTCATTAAGAAAATTGCTTTGATTGCGTAGGAGTTTCGAGTCAAAGTGTTATCCTGACAAATTCTCCGACATCCTCCTTTTTCGCTAACAGTATCGATCTAACTCGTCCATTCTTACCGTAAATCGTCTCGCAAACAAGAAAAGGAAAGAATCAGCATTAACAATCCGCGTCACGTCAGCATCCTCCACCGGCAACGGAAGCGTCCACGCCGCGACGATCTTTCCAAGGGGGGTTGTCGATCGATCGGTGTCTTCGTTCCTCCGCGATCCCCGACACGACGAACGAGGTCCTCTCGCCACGAAACGATTTCCTCGGGAATCAGGGCCGCACGAGGGTTTCGGCTGGATCCTAGCCGAAGGACGACGAGCCGGTTCCGTGGTGTTGCGAATCAGGAAGAACGCCCGCGATCCTCGATCCCGCGCGATCCGACGTTTCTGATGGACTGAGAAGTCCGATCGAGAAACGCCGTCGTTACTTTCTACCCACACGTAGTAGGAAAAGGTGCAAGAAGTGGGGTACTGACACGATAAGCCGCGATCCGCGACTAGGAGGGGCGGTTCAGCCGTTCCCCGTCGTTCGGGGGTGATCTCGTCGGTTTTCTCTGGGTTTAGAGGGCAACGGTCGTTCGAGAAAACGTAATAAACGAGCGCAGCAGTATAAATGAAACAAGAGAATAGAATGTTAACCCTCTGTAGGCCCATGTAACTTTAAAGTCACGTATCAGTATACTGGCATCTTGTTGATTTATTTTATTTTGCACTCGAAGTGTTGAAATTGACATTGTTGACATCGATGCCCCCAATTTCCAACATTAAATTAACCCTCTGTAGGCTCGTGTAACTTTGAAGTCACGTATCAGTATACTGGCGTCTTGTTGATTTATTTCATTTTGCACTCGAAGTGTTGAAATTGACATTGTTGACATTGATGCCCCCAATTTCCAACATTAAATTAACCCTCTGTAGGCTCGTGTAACTTTGAAGTCACGTATCAGTATACTGGCGTCTTGTTGATTTATTTCATTTTGCACTCGAAGTGTTGAAAATGACATTGTTGACATTGATGCCCCCAATTTCCAACATTAAATTAACCCTCTGTAGGCTCGTGTAACTTTGAAGTCACATATCAGTCAAGTCACATTAACGTTGTTAATGATTGACGATCTTCACTCGCGAAAGAAGGATATTGCTGCGCTGGAAAGAGCTTGGAGATTTATCTATCATTTTTCAAACCGGCAACAAGCAATAAAGAAATTATAAGAGGTTCAAGGATCAAGTCGTTTCGGGAATACGAGTGGAAACGAGCATCGGAAACGGCCGATTTTCAGGGAGCCTCTTGTTCCATCCACTTGACGCTGTAAACGGAAACGCGCAGCGCAAGAGCGTCGTTGCTTGGGGCAATGATGATTTATGGTAATCTCGACTCAGTGGAAAGTGGTTCCTAATAAGCAGTGTTTAATGCGCTAATAGCATTTACGGTTCGATCAAATTTAATGGGACTTCTCTCTATAACATTCAGAATCACTTCTTAGGTAATCGTATCATTCACCTTAAAATACAATAAATTACCTTCCGCTAAATTATCCACGATAAACAAAGAACTACCAACAAACTGACAGTTGTAGCAACATTACAAAATTCAATTGTACTCAATGTTGTAGTCAGTTTCTCTGCTTTTAACAGAAATTGTGCAAATCCCGCAACCCAGTTACGCTTCCGCAGGCCGCCGCCGAGTCCCCAGTTTGCCAAGAGACGGAAAAACGGTTTCGAACTTGAACGGAACGGAACGGCAATCGCGAGTACAAACGATTCCTTGCGCAACGATCGTAACGGCGAAAGTATGATGCAGGAAGTATGTGTCTATTAAATCGACAAGCGTCGGTTTCAGCCTCATCGAGTATCAGCCACCGCCGATGTGCGTTATCTGCGATTGCGCCACATGCCATCGCGAGAATTGCGTAATCCGATGCTCTTTTCAAAAAGTTTCAAAAGCAATTACGTTCGCTGCGTTTCGAAACATCCCTGAAATCTAGACCTCGGCATCTGGATCCTGTTAAAGTTGCGTTTAGTGCTCGATGATAGTCGAAGATGAGACTCAATGTTAATTAACACTAGAATTACCGAGTAAAACCGTCTTTTCTAAATTTCCTTAGAAAAGCTATGAGTATTGAATGATTTATTAAAATTCCAATTAGCTTGTATTTCAGTTTAGGCATCGCTGAATTAGCTTCTTGAATCATTTCTTAATGAAGCGTTTGTATCTTTACAATAATTAGAAGAAATTAGAAATTGGTTACTCTGCTATCTAATATCTTACGAGTAATTGATTCTATTAATCGATTTTCTTAGATTCTCAAAGAACGAAATAGAACCAATAGAATTCACGCGATAACCGTTGGAAAAGCGGCAAATCTACCGTTTCACGCTGATTCGCCGAAAGAAACTCGCGGCAAAACAAGCGCGCGGTTCATCTGGAAACGGGATTACTTTGTTTTCAAGTGTTTGCACTTCTTTGCCGGGTACATCCGATTGGAGAGCAGCCTCCGTTACTTGTACAACTGGTGATTGGAGAATATAGGTCAGTAGAAAAGAGTCATGCTCTGTACTATCACCATCGACACTTAAATTACAAGAATCTTACGAAGAACTAGGCGAATGAATAAGCGGACATAATTGCTTTGTTAATCAATCCATTCGATTTCTCATCGATAGACTTATGCATTTGTATATTTAGAATTGCAAAATTTTATTTCTGTGGTTATAATCTGAACCATTTAAATTTGCATAAACAACCGCAGACCGTTCACCGCGATTTCTTTATTACACTGTTTCTAAATTATCGTTCGTGCCTAATTCAAACCTGCACGATAAAAAAGCCAGCAATGGTGCAAGAGTACTGATCGAGGAACCGATAGAAAAAATACTCCATAGATCGCAGATGCAAAACAGATATTTCCCCTAGAAGAGGTAACCCAATTTCTGGTTGAAACGTATATTTTGGCACGCCCTGCGCGATCACGTTCGATACAATGCTCGACGAGACTTGTTCCCTGGACCAGCGAGCACGGAATTTCTTGAACACCGGCAAGCGGAGAAGGTTGGTACCTGCACGGGTCGTTAGTTAGCCAAACAATCGGCTGAGGTGATTGCCAGTCGTTATCAAGATTATCCAAGATCGCGGTTAACCGAGGGATTTCGCTGATCAGCCAATTAATCGGCTACGTGCCCTGACTATGCGCTTGAACTGAGAGAGACTGTCATGGAAAATCGAGTGGATCGAAGATCGAACTAACTCTACCTCTCGAATACTCTCGACTCGCAGCGTCAAACCAGTCGGTTAGTTTCCTGTTTACCGATTTTCATCAAGATCCTTTGTCCCGCGGAGTGAAGCGACCCAGCGAATGATCGTCTCAATTATCTATCAATCGAGACTCCTGATCTTTTTGCTATCGAGCGAGTCGAATCTTAATGATCGCCGATGAATCTCTGCGCGTTGTTCGTCGTGATCGACGGTCCAAGGGATCAGCGGAGAGAAGAGGAAGCGCAGGCGTTTAGCAAGAGGTCTCGAACTGCCCGCGAAGATCCGGCTCTCCTTCGATTTCGCAATTGGCCGTTGGACCAACGGCGATTGCGAATGTTCGCGCCTGCGCCGCGGCTTCAATTAATATCGGTAACCGCTTAGAAAGGAGTCACGTGTGTTGAAAGACGACACGGGCCGCGCAGCGAGCCGGTGCTCCGTTTTATTCAACAGGTGCGCTGCCGAATAGCACGCCGCGCCTGCTCGGTGCTCCATGAAAGCTAGTTAATCTTCATCTCGCGCGTGTCGGCATTGTTCTTCAATTCCCCGGGGCTTTCCATCGCATCGAATCGCATCGTTATAATCGGTGACTACTGTTTGTTCGCTGCATTCAAATAATTTCGATGAATCGATAGTACATCGGACAGAATTTCGTGAAAATGTTCAAGGTTAGGTTCACAGTGATGTTTGACATACGTTGATTGTTACTTTCAAGTTACTTTAATGATCTAATCGCGACTACTGATAATCGATCTATCGAAAATGAACATGTGTTTTGTTGTTATACTCCATCAATGGTTGATTACTTAAAATGGCAACAGAAAAGTTAAAAACGTAATGGGAAAACCGTAAATTATTGTCTCATCGTTCGAAATCAATTGATTTCATTTGAATAATCCTTTTAAATCAGTAAATGAATATTGAATACAATGATCTCTCTTTTACTTGGTAGTCTCTCGGCTCGACCGATGGAACCGACGGCCGAAAGTAAAATGGCGGCGTCGCCGGGCAGCGACGCAAGCAATTTGATTTTATTTGAGCGAAACGAAATATTTATCGCCGGTATTTGCATAGCGGACGCGGCACCGGGAAAAATCTATGGAAATTCTGCGGTCGGCTCTGTCGATCGCTAATTGACGGAAACTTTTCGCATCTTAAACCGTTCGGGAACGCAATTGAACGCCTCCTGACGCTTAACCCCTTGGCTACGGCAACGTCCGCCGAACTACGATCGTAGAGAAAGCCTTTATATGGCGCTGGCGCTGATCAACGGACCGATAAGAATACGTGGAACTTTTGTTCAATCGAAAACCATG